AGTTGTGTCTCCCTTCTCCTCCTTCCCTCATCTTGGCCAAGCGTTGTGTTTTTCGCTGATTCAAGGCCTTGCTAGGATGACACAAAAGTCTGCTTCATCACGGAGGAACCAAACTGTAGCCCTGCTTAATCAGCAGAAGACTCCCGCTAACCCAGCATCTTGTTTCCAAGAATTAGCTTCTTCCTTTGCCAGGAGCATTGTGGGATTCAGACCCCACAACCTTATAAATTGAAGGTAAATGAACTGAGGAGCGATCCCATTGGGAGCCAAGAGTCTGAATGCCCTTTTGGATCCACTCATGCCTGAGACAATGCACCACAGTGTGCGAAGGGTTTAACAAAGATTGTAAATGTGTCTGTTGCAATTACCGAAAACGCTTCTCTGACTAAAACGCCCGAGATGCTTTTTCTGGACTGCTGCAAACCATTTTCCAGGTCTGAAGAATCCGACTCTGAAAATTTATGCTTACAAGCTCCTATTAATCATTCACCACTCCGTGTTTATAATAATGAGCATGAATGTTGGTCAAATAAAGCCATTCCCCTGCTTTTCCCCCCGCTCTGCTGTGGTTTAAAAATTAGAAGGGACGAACTGCAAGTCGCCCTGCGTTTCTGCAGCCCGGCTGAGCCAAACCCCTCTATGCTCGACACGAATTTCAGTGATGGATGGTTTCCAAAAATCAAAGTTTAATATCTGCTTCTCGCGTCTCCTTACTTCCTTGTTTCATGGCCGACCCAGCCTGAAAGCGCCAAAATTTTGTGAGGCAGATGGCACATGTGCTAAGTCTGGTCCAGGCCTTACCAAAAGTCACCCAAGGTTTCCAGCTCAACTGCCAGAACAAAAAGGTTGAGATAAGTGAGCATAATTACAGGAGCCATTTTACAGTCCTTTCCCTCCTCCTCCTGTAGACCAATCGCCTTTTCCAGGCAGCTGCTCCAGCAAGGAAATTGAAGGAACGGCTTCCCTTAGTTCTCACGCTGCTTTTCTGCTTTGCTTCAGAGCGTTGTCATCGGTGGTGGCTTTGGGAGCGAACATCATCTGCAACAAGATCCCAGGCCTGGCCCCACGGCAGCGAGCGATTTGCCAGAGCCGCCCTGATGCCATCATAGTCATTGGAGAAGGGGCCCAGATGGGAATCAATGAGTGTCAGTACCAGTTCCGATATGGCAGGTGGAACTGCTCAGCACTGGGAGAGAAGACCGTCTTCGGTCAAGAGCTTCGAGTAGGTAAGGTTCTCTGTAAAGTAAGGCTCCTTATTTGGAAATTTTGTCTTCTGCCTTTCTTTCCACAGTAGTTTTTTTTAAAAAAGAAAATAAAAGAAACAAAGATGATCAGGGAACTAGAGGCTAAAACAGATGAGGAACGGTTGCAGGAACTGAGTATGTCTAGTTTAATGGAAAGAAGGACTAGGGGAGACATGGTAGCAGTCTTCCAATA